TCAGGTGGGCGGATCCGGTAAGACCCGATCGGACCCAGGATCGGATTTGTTGACCTGGGTGCCAAAAATTTTTCAGGGGGGCAATTGCCCCCCCCGCCCCCCCCCCCCCTCTGGCCCGCCGATGCGGCAATGCTCGAATGAGCCGTGGACTGTCTCTTAATATTTTTTCAAACTAGCTTATTTTATATTTAATTTGGCGTCGCTAGCCGAGGCATTTAACGCATCAGAAGATGATTTCGACTAAGAAGAATCAACCGTCAGAAGACGTTTCAAATGTTGCTGACTCGTCGACTTCTTCAGACACATCACTGCCAACAACATTGGACTTGTACCGGATTTTTAACGATACCGGTGATATATCATCAAATTCACGGAGTATTTATAATTATTTGGCTGAAACGTTTCCATGGGAAGATTGGACTTTAATGAATTACGGTTTTTTAAACAAAAATACTGATATGAAAAAAATTAATGTAACAAATATCAATCACAATACTGCTTCATACTATTCGATTCTACTATATGCTGCTGTTGTTGATGATATTGTCTTACAAAACTTGGATGTGCTTGAAGTTGGCTGTGGGCGTGGTGGCGGATGCGCATGGATATCACGCACATTAATGCCACATTCTATACTTGGAGTCGATTATTCAGAGTCTGGAATCGAACTCTGTCAGAAGATTCATTCGCACATACCGAATCTTCGTTTTGAACAGGGAAACGCCGAGCATTTATCGTGTCTGAATGATTCATTTGATGTTGTGATTAATGTCGAATCATCACATTGTTACCCATCAATGGAACGCTTTCTAAGCGAAGTTTATCGCGTATTAAAACCGGGTGGATATTTTTTATGGGCGGACTTCAGAGATTCTGGGCAAGAAAATGTAGTTCTTGAACAATTTAAAACATCTGGTTTGGAGATAATCGAACAGGTTGACATTACCGAAAATGTCGTTTTAGCATTGCATAAAACAAGAGAAGACAGGCTCAATTTCTTAAAACAACTACCAAAAGAACATCAAGAAAAATTTGAAGAATGGCTTGATAATCCATCATTGAAAAATAATTACGCATTTTATTGGCGTTATAAATGCAAGAAAGCACTTGTACCATTATTATGCTGTGCATAACTGTAACAGATAACGAAAAGACTACGGTTAATATAGATTTTTCATAAAGGACTTATCGTAATTACCGTGAGTAGAAACTGCCATAATAGATTTCGAACTTGTTAGAGTTCATTTTCAAATGGCTCAACTCTAAATCTTGCTTCTTATCATTATTTCAATGCGAAAAAATAAAAATAACAATAAAAAATAAAAATCTATAAATTAAGTATTCTGATATAAGTAAAATTCACACATTCCAATAAATGCAATATATGAATTTCTCCTATATTGACCCGTCAACAAATCCGATACTGGATCCGATCGGATTCCTGGAAACGAAATTGCATTGGAATCCGACTAGAAAAATCCAGGAAATCCATGTTTCGGATCCGAGACGGACGGAATCTAATGCGATTCCGTCACTAGGATTTCATCGGATCTGTCGAATTCCTGTAGGATCTGATAAAATCTTATATTGCACCCGATGGGATCCGAGTATGGGATTGTTCGACCTGGGGATACCCATTCCGTTAGCAGTGGTGAGTAGAAGCTGCCATAATCGATTTCGAACTTGTTAGAGTTCATTTTCAAGTGGCTCAACTCTAAATTTTGCTTCTTATCATTAGTTCAATGCGAAAACATTAAAATAACAACAAAATATCAAAATTCATTTAAATGATGAGGAAATTGTGAAACAGTGTGTACTCACTATACTACTGATATTGAGTGAAAAGGCAGATGAAATGGGTTTGTTTGTGAAAGGGAAGAGGATGTAAGCGTTGGCTGTTTCATGATGTCATAGGATTGCAAATTGAAGAATTTGTGTTTTGTGAAACATTAATACTGTTATTTGATGGACAGAATTTGATTGAGAAATAATTCTTTTTAATTGATGTTATTTCCTCAATTTGATTCATGTTTCTAAAAGTAAAATAAACGTAAGAAGGCGTAAGCTCATCTGAATTTAATATAAAAAATGGCTTAGAGCTTTGAATGGATTCAATGAAATAAGCTGTATTTTTTGAAGAAAGTTCAGTTTTATTTTGAGTTTTGAAATTATTTATACGAATCGTTCGTTGATAGTCGATGATCTGTTAGATTGAATGATGCTGATAAACGGAATTGTTTCATATAATTTGCACGTTCAATCATGTGTTGTCGACGATTTTTGATAGCTGCATTCACACGTTTCTGATATTGAGATGTAGTTTGCATATATTTGTTTCGGATGAAAAACTTTTTCTGTTCTTTTTGTATAGTTGTTTGGATTTGTTCAAGCTCTTTTTGAATAACATTTTTCTTTAAAGCTATCAGTGTTTCCATTGTACTCGATAAAGTATAAGTTGATGTGTATCATGTTGATGGATCATTGAGTTTTTGAATATTTGTATTAATATTATTTATGATTTTATGTAGTAAACTAGATGCTGATTTTAATGTTGTAGATAGAAGACGATGTTGTAAGAAAGCCATATCTTCTTCTATTATCAGTTTATCCTTTGTTGCTTTTCGTATATGTCTTGCCCATGTGATCTGTAATAAATTCAAATGAAAGATATATGATTTTATCAGAGTAAATATTATAGTTGATATGCTCACATATCTCCTGTTTGGTTCAATATCAATGAAATTTTGAAGTAATTGATGGTCAGTTGCATCCAAAAGTAACATTTTGTGAAACACGATCTGAAAGAGAGTGTTGAAGTGTGTAGGAGCAGAAATTTGGACCCTCCCCCCCCCCCTCCCTCACACACACACACAGACATTACTAACAAACTCAATTACACCTTATACACTCTCACAACATCAGAAAGACGCTCTTCGCCCTGACAGAGCAATAAACATAAGCAAGATATCCTTTGCCTTTATTCCACAATTATGAAATCAGATAAATGTTGTGGAAAAATTGAACTTAAACATATTTATGGTTCACATCCGAATGCAGATTGAGAAAAACTACTATTTCTGGACCTTCATTCACACAATTCGACTACGGACAGGTATTGACGATATTGAATTGATTGTCAACCGTGTTAATTGACCGTTTCTGTCGCCGTTTTAATTTTTGGTAAAGACGATCTTTTTCTCTTCGTAAAACTTTTGATCATGTGATTCATATAATCGAAAACGACGTACACGCTGCTTGATCTTTGTGCGTGTTTTTTAAGTATTGATTGAGTTCTTGTGGATGTTACAGCATTTGATAAGATTTCTGTACGAATTCGTAAACGATACTTTCTTTTTTCTTCCTTCAATCGCCTTCGGTATTCTTTAACATTTTCCTGTTCTTGTCTTTTCCGAGATTGTCGCATTCTACGCGCATGTGCAATTAAAAATGACTACCTATTCTGAGTTTTCTTCATAGTTAATAAACTTCTTCGATTGTCGAATAAAGCCAAAATCAAAATGAATGAAAAAAACTGTTTTATGATCTAATAATTCGTTCAGAAAGCGCTTATATTCTATTTAATTTCATTTGGAAAACAGATCGACGATATTTGTCTCAAATTGCATTCTGAAAACAATAAAAAAAAGGCTGAATAACATATGGTTATCGTAGAAATCTATTAAAAATTAAATCAAGAATTACATAAATTCAGTACACACAATATAAGAATTGTTACACATGAAATATTGAATCCAAACATTAATTATCTTTCATAGCTAGATTACGACCTAACAGTTCAAAATAGGGATCAAGACCATCTCGTAAAAGACGCCCAAACCGTAACAAAAAGCCATCTAAAATTCGCAAAAATAATTCAAAACTAGCAAATCGGAAAAAACCATCACGCCAAATAAGAAACAAACATTGTACAAAATGAGGGTTTTCTTCGCTTAATCAGCTGTGAAGAAGAATTCAATGAAGAAATACAAGATGAACGTATTGTGCACGATTTTCTTAGCGAAAGGTGTGATAAATTCATGAAATATATTGTTGTCAATATTGAATACCAATGTTAGGTATTTATATGAAGTTCGTCAAATATGGTCTTCTTGCATATGTTGCATGTCTGAACATCCACTGTGTAACATGAAATTAGCGAAAAAACAACATGAATGCCATCATGATTGCATCGTTGGTGAGATAATTTGTTTGTCTTGTTATGATTTCAGCTCAAAAGAAAATATTCCATTCTGTCCGCATTCTCCTATACAAAATAATATGCAAATCTCCCTTGTACCTGAATGTTTAAAACTTGGCTTCCTTGAACAATGTGCTGTTGCATTAATGCATTGTTACATGAGTATACTCATAATACGTGACCGTTCATCACCAATGAAAGGTCAAGTAGAACACTGTCAAATTGATGCCCTTGATAACATAGCTGATCTTTTACCATTCCCAAAATGTTGTGAATTTATGGCTGTCATTCAACAAAAGCCCTCAGAAAAACACAATGAAATCAGATCAATAGTACGTTATTCTGTCAGTGCTACTCAAATTCTCAATGCGATAATATATCTGATTCAAAATCATATTGGATACAGCAATAAACGAGTTTTACCATTACGAAGTATTGAAGAAATATTTCAATGTAGAAAAGAAGATTTAGCTCCTATCAAAATTATTGATTCATATGCTTATAATAATTCCACAACATCTTCACCAATAATCCTAGACTCAAAAGAAGATTTTCTATGGCCATGGTAAGAATCAAACAAAAGAAATTCGCAACAACGTGTTTTATATTTTATGAAGTCGTACTTTAAAAGTTGATGAAAACCCTGTGTGAAATATTCAACCCGGTATGGAAGAATGTACATTTCCATGGCTTTATTCAACAGGTCAAGGTGGCGAACTTGACATGAAAAGACCCATTCCATTAAAGCTTCGTGATTATTATAAATTACGATTAATGTCTGTTGACAAAAGATGGCAATCCGATTCCATTTGGGTATTCCGCGCTATGAATTTAATACAGCGAGACGATTTATGTACGGTTGTCAATTATCATGCCAAACAACAATTTAAAAACGAACGTTTATGTTATAATATATATCCATGTAAGGAAACTGTTCATGTGATGTAGACTTTCAACCTCCATCCGCTCACCTTTTTATACAAAACTATTTTCAATATCAAATAAAATAAAAGCATTTATCTCTATTTTAGCAATAGGAAGAGCAATACGAGGTACAGCTGCATTCTGGTCGACACCTAGAAAAATGCTACGTGCAATGTATGCAACCTTATCAAAGCCTAATATCTTTTTAAATATCAATTTGCAAGGTGATGTCGAATTTTTAACGCATATTGATCGTGTTCGTTTCGGTCATGTCGAAAATCCAAAATATGATGCCATTGATAGTCTTTCGAATGACGATTATTTACAATTAGTTAATGAGAATAGTGCATTTGTAGCACGTATGTGTCATCGGCGAACGTTGGCATTTGAAAAATTTGTTAGCGATAAAAATCATCCATTTTGCATTGATTCTATTGTAACAAATTACTTTTTCAAAATTGAATTTCAACGAGGTGGTCTGCCGCATTTACATACTCTACTCTGGCTCGAAAATTTTCCATCCGTTGACACACCCGACGGACGTCAAAGCATTGTTGAATTTATTGATAAATTTCTTAGTACAGCTTTACCAGATAAAGAAACAGATCCTGAACGCCATGTACTTGTAAAAAAGAAATAATGGCATTTTCATACATTTACATGTGCACCAGGTTTAGTAATTATGCATTTTACGTGTAAAATCTAATATGATTACTACCAATAATAGAGAATATAAAAGTTCGTATTCATCGTGGACGAAAATTTAAAGATGAACAAGAAGCAAAATCAACCGAAGGAAATCAACTCAAAGATATGAATAAAAATTATTTACACGAAAATGAAGTATACGAACAAGTTGATCCAAACAAAGATCCAGGTCTTCTACAATTATTGAAAGATAAAAATGAATTTTTTGAACGATTAGCTTGTCGTTTTGGAAGTCCTTGTGAATTAGCTACGGGAACTCATTTCCGTAGTTACAAATAAGCTCGTATATTAACAAGAGGCGATAGATATATAGTTATATAGCGATTAACTGAAGAAGTATATACTTTCGTTTTCACTTCTTATTCAATTTCTACGCATTATAGTCACGTCGAATTATTCCCTATAATATGAACCTTTTGAAAACATTTCGATGTAATCATTATATTCAAGTTATTACTGACCCATGGGAATCAGCAGAATATTTATTATCTTACGTTGCAAAGAATGCTCAGATGGAAAAAGACTTAGTCTATCAATTGTCAAACTGTACTTGTGAAATTTTGACAGAAGCTAAAAAAGTTCTTTTAAAAACAGGAAATGCCATATTGTCACATCGTCAAGTTGGAAAAGTTGAAGCATCTTGGACCGTATTAGGTACTTTCAACTATTTTACTTTTACAACCTTCGTGCTATATTCCAGGAATCCCACTATATCATTCCTCAATGAGATACAAAAGTTTGTACATTTCCTTGCCTTGGGAGGAGGAAAGAATTTTCAAACGAGGAAGAATTGAAATTAATAGTACAGATGATTTTATTGAATCTTTAACGCACAAATATGTAAAGCGACCATCTACTCCATCAGTTATAGATCAATGACGTTACTTGAATTTTTAACTTGGTTTGATTATGATCGATATTCATCACCTAAAGTACAGGACGCTTTACAAGAACCACTTGTACCAAATCCTCTTTGGCGTAATAATTTCGAACAACCACCTCCACTTAAAACTTCTGCTTTACTGCCTCGTATTGTTCTTTCATGTGGAACAGTATTAATTCAAACACAAAGAGCCAACTTGTGCTAGCTTTACTTGCAGATATGATAATTCTATGTTAGCTATGTATTCTATTCTTTGCATTGGAATTTCTTATCGGGAGCCAGTTCAAGAATTTCTCAATAACAAACTAGGTACATTTTGAAATTGTAGACGAGAGTTCCATATCAACGTTACATAACCTTTTCGTAGAAAACGATGTAAAAGCTATTCATCAAGTCTTATTGAAATATCGAACTAAGTTAACTGAACAATTCGGTAAATTACCGGGAGCCTATCAAGTCCAAATGCTTAACGCACTCGAACTTCTATGCGATTTAAATAATCATGACTTTTTTATTCAACCAAAAACATCATTTATATTTACAAGAGTGATGATGAAGAATCAGAAGATGATATCAATGAAAATACTACACATACTTCTATTGCAAATACTGAACTTTATAAAAAAGATTTGAACAAAAATGCTACACGAGAAAGTATCAACAATGAGAATGACGACGACTTATATAGCAATCAAGACGTAAAAATCAATCTTCCATGCATACGAATACAAGAATTATTAGCATCAGCGAATGGTCAACAACGCTTTCTTGCTAATTTCTTAAAACAATATCTGGCTGCAACTATGCAATATGAACAGAGGAAGCTTCGAGTTCCTAATATATCTAAATCACTTCCATTTCATACCGTCGTGAATGGTTTTAGCTGGTTCCGGAAAATCTTATGCAATCAGTATCATTGAACAAATGCTAACTGATTTTTGCATAAGTGAATCAGCTATTCGAAATCGTCCAAGAAGAAGAAGAAAAGGGTTGCTAAAGATCGCTCATACTGGAAAAGCTGCTCTAAATATTTATGGATGGACTATTCATACTGCTCTAGGCACGGTAAACTTTCCAAATCTATTTCGAACTTCAAAGTAACTGTATGACTTGTTATTAGCGTCCTGATAATAGAACAACACCGAACAATGCACCATCATTTAAGATGCATTCACATCGAAATAGACTTGGTGATTTAATTTTGATAATCATTGATGAAATCTCTCTTGTTTCATATAATCTTTTTCAAAAAGTCAACAAACGTCTAAATGAAATATTTCGAGTATCGGATGAAAGCGATACGTACTTTGGAAACACTCCAATATTATCATTTGGCGATATGGCTTAATGTGAACCAGTTGCTGCTAAACAAATTTTCTGGCGACTATCTACTGAAACTTTTCCCCTTTGGGCTGATCTATTTAGACCAATTAATTTCAATGTTAATATGCGACAAGGAGAAGATCGAAAATCTTTTGAGATTCTATGTCGAATAAGATTAGGTAACTTGATTGTTCTCTTCATTTAAATAATGCATGTCCCATAAAATGTTCAGGTCAAAATACTGAACAAGATGAAGCGACCATTAAATCTAGAAGTATACGAAAAGAAGATAATGTAATCTATTACAAAAATCGATTGGAAGAGTTGCACTCTTCGGAGTTCATTGATGCGATATATGCATCTAGCGTACGATCTAAACCAAACGAACGGAATTCGATGAAATTGAAAAAACCTATTTGGATAATCCAATCAGTCGACGTTAGTTAGCAAATTAGATAAAATATTACCTGTGAGCTAATTTATTTAGAAAATTGGTATGGCTAGAACATCCTTTTTTAATCCCATTCATGCAAGCAAAAAAGAATGTCGAATTCAATTGAAACCATCAGATGATGAAAGTGAATGTGGATCAATGTTCCGACAACTTCCACTTTGTATTGGTGCACGAGTCATTTGTAGGCGAAATATTGATTTTGATGAGCAAATGGTAAACGGTACCGAAGCAATTGTAAAAGATATCGTCTAGGAAGATAGGCAAGAAATCGTATTACCAATATCAAATACATGTGTATTTACAAATCTGGATAGAGCAATTACTGTTACATTGCCGAAATACGTAGAACTCGGTAACATAAAATCAAACATTAAATTCATTTAAACCTAACTGTTTTTCTGAAAAGAATTAGAAAATGATTCTATTTACAAAATGCTAACAGAGGAGGTCAGTTTTAAAGATAGAAATGGAATTTGGATGACAAGAAGACAACTTCCACTTAGTCTTGGTTATGCAATAACAATTCATCGTTCACAATGCATGACCTATAATAAGCTAGTTGTCGATCTAACCGGGAAAAACTGGAAGTCAGGAATGTTCTATCAATTTTGAGTCGCACGAGAAAATTAACTGATATTATTATCTTAGCATACAATCGAAAATCTCTCAAAGTAAATTATATTTCCACTAGAACTTACTGAACATCTATGAATCGTCTAGGTATCTAAATCTGCACTTAATGAAATGATACGCCTTGAAAAATTGAGCAAAAATATCCCATAAAAATCGAACATTATTTACGATCTGAGGTTTAATAAGTTTTCTTCTTATTTGTCGAAATTCTATAGATTTCTATAGAGATATGTCGATTGGTGTCTTTCTCGTTCATTTCACAAAGCTGAAACATCATCCATAGTATCAGTAAAAACTAGTGCAACAACATTAATTAAAATCGATTCTAAATGTCCGAAATATGAAACTTCAACATTCTCTACGACTACATCTTTCAAAAAGCCTGAAGATATTATTATTTGTGAAAAACAAGAGAGTCTTTATTGTGGACGCCATGTGCTTCGTGCAGTATCACAAAGATTAGATCTATTCAGTGACACATATTTAAAAGAAGTGGCTCAAAACCTAGCAAACTTTGAACAAATATATTCTCATCAAGAATCTGTACTTGTAACTGANTCGGCCAAACGTTTTACACGAGATAGTGGTACGTAGACTGCTGCAATATCATCAGTTTCATTTGGTAATTTTAAATCAATAACCACTTTGCTCAATGTTTGACCTTGACTTTTATGTGTTGTAATACAATAAGCAGGTACAAGTGGTAATGCAGATCGTTTAATTGATAGAATTGTCTTTTGATTTGATTTTGGTTTCTTATCTTTTGGAATAAGATCAGCAACGTCAACTTGAAATGTTTGTTCTATAAGTGGAATTGGTATAAGTTTTGGTTGGAGATCTTGAAGTTTGCATTCTATCTTCGATTTAACAATCTCAATTAATGCATATATTGTGTATTGTTCGGGAACATTTCTGATAAATTTCCTGTTGTTACCGAATCTTCATGATATACTAATTGTCGAAATATTCCATTAATACCATTGATAAGGCCCAATTCAGTAGCAATATTTTGCATTAAAATGACAGGCATACCTGGTACAAAACGTAATAGACCAGGTAAATGCTCTGTCTTGCTATCAGATAATTCTAATAATTTTTTGTGAAACACTATCTGAAAGAGAGTGTTGAAGTGTGTAGTGGCAGAAATTTGGACCCACCCCCTTTCCCACAGACGTTACAGACGTTCTGAAAATCCCATCACAAACGTTACAAACAAACTCAATTACACCTTATACACTCTCACAACATCAGAAAGACGCTCTTCGCCCTCACAGAGCAATAAACATAAGCAAGATATCGTTTGCCTTTACTCCACAATTATGAAATCAGATAAATGTTGTGGAAAAATTGAATTTAAACATATTTATGGTTCACATCCGACTGCAAATTGAGAAACACTACTATTTCTGGACCTTCATTCACACAATTCGACTACGGACAGATATTGACGATATTGAATTGATCGTCAACCGTGTTAATTGACCGTTTCTGTCGCCGTTTTAATTTTTGATAAAGACGATCTTTTTCTCTTCGTAAAACTTTTTGATCATGTGCTTCGTTTAATCAAAAACGACGTACACGTTGCTTGGTCTTTGTACGTGTTTTAAGTATTGATTGAGTTCTTGTGGATGTTGCAGCATTTGATAATATTTCTGTACGAATTCGTAAACGATACTTCCTTTTTTCTTCATTCAATCGCCGTCGGTATTCTTTAACATTTTCCCGTTGTTGTCTCTTCCGAAATTGCCGCATTCTACGCGCATGTGCAATTAAAAATGACTGCCTATTCTGCGTTTTCTTCATAGTTAATAAACTTCTTCGATTGTCGAATAAATGCAAAATCAAAATGAATGGAAAAAAACTGTTTTATGATTTAATAATTCGTTCAGAAAGCGCTTGTATTCTATTTAATTTCGTTTGGAAAACATATCGACAATATTTGTCTCAAATTGCATTCTGAAAACAATAAAAAAAAGGCTGAATAACGTGTGGTTATCGTAGAACTCTATTAAAAATTAAACCAAGAATTGCATAAATTCAGTACACATAATATAAGAATTGTTACACATGAAATATTGAATCCACACATTAATTATCTTTCATGGCTAGATTACGACCTAACAGTTCAAAATGGGGATCAAGGCCATCTCGTAAAAGACGCCCAAACCGTAACAAAAAGCCATCTAAAATTCGCAAAAATAATTCAAAACTAGCAAATCAGAAAAAACCATCACGCCAAATAAGAAAAAATCAAATTGTAGAAAATGACCGTTCTTTTCGCTTAATCAGCTGTGAAGAAGAATTCAATGAAGAAATACAAGATGAACGTATTGTACACGATTTTCTTAGTGAAAGGTGTGATAAATTCATGAAATATATTGTTGTCAATATTGAATACCAATGTTAGGTATTTATATGAAATCCGTCAAATATGGTCTTCTTGCATATGTTGCATGTCTGAACATCCAATGTGTCATATGAAATTAGCGAAAAAACAACATGAAAGCTATCATGATTGCATCGTTGGTGAGATAATTTGTTTGTCTTGTTATGATTTCAGCCCAAAAGAAAATATTCCATTCTGTCCGCATTCTCGTATACAAAATAATATACAAATCCCTCTTGTACCTGAATGTTTAAAACTTGGGTTCCTTGAACAACGTGCCGTTGCATTAATGCATTGTTATATGAGTATACTCATAATACGTGGTCGTTCATCATCAATGAAAGGTCAAGTAGTACACTGTCAAACTGATGCCCTTGATAACATAGGTGATCTTCTACCATTCCCAAAATGTTATGAATTTATGGCTGTCATTCAACAAAAACCCTCAGAAAAACATAATGAAATCAGATCAACAGTACGTTATTCTGTCAGTGCTACTCAAATTCTCAATGCGATACTATATCTGATTCAAAACCATATTGCATACACCAATAAACAAGTTTTACCATTACGAAGCATTGAAGAGATGTTTCAATGTAGAAAAGAAGACTTAGCTCCTATCAGAATTATTGATTCATATGCTTACAATAATTCTACAATGTCTTCACCAATAATCCTAGACTCAAACGAAGACTTTCTAGGACCATGGTAAGAATCAAACAAAAAAGAATTCGCAACGCCATGTTTTATATTTTATGAAGTCGTACTTTAAAAGTTGGTGAAAATCCTGTATGGAATATTCAGCCCGGTATGGAGGAATGTACATTTCCATGGCTTTATCCAACAGGTCAAGGCGGCGAACTCGACATGAAAAGACACATTCCATTAAAGCTTCGTGATTACTCTAAATTACGATTAATGTCTGTTGACAAAAGATGGCAATCCGATTCCATTTGGGTATTCCGCGCTATGAATTTAATACAGCGAGACGATTTATGTACGGCTGTCAATTATCATGCCAAACAACAATTTAAAAAGGATCGTTTATGTTATAATATATATCCATGTAAGCAAACTGTCCATGTGATGGAGACTTTCATCTGCATGCGCTCACCTTTTTATACAAAACTATTTTCAATATAAAATAAAATAAAAACATTTATCTCTATTTTAGCAATAGGAAGAGCAATACGAGGTACAGCTGCATTCTGGTCGACACCTAGAAAAATGCTACGTGCAATGTATGCAACCTTATCAAAACCTAATATCTTTTTAAGTATCAATTTGCAAGATGATGTCGAATTTTTAACGCATATTGATCCTGTTCGTTTCGGTCATGTGGAAAATCCAAAATATGATGCCATTGATAGTCTTTCGAATGACGATTATTTACAATTAGTTAATGAGAATAGTGCACTTGTAGCACGTATGTGTCATCGGCGAATGTTAGCATTTGAAAAGTTTGTTAGCGATAAAAACCATCCATTTTTCATTGATTATATTGTAACGAATTACTTTTTCAAAATTGAATTTCAACGAGGTGGTCTGCCGCATTTACATACTCTGCTCTGGCTCGAAAATTTTCCATCTATAGATACAGCCGAAGGGCGTCAAAGCATTATTGATTTTATTGATAAATTTCTCAGTACAGCTTTGCCTGATAAACAAACAGACCCTGAAGGTCATGTACTTGTAAAAAAGAAACAGTGGCATTTTCATACATTTACATGTGCACCAGGTTTAGTAATTATGCATTGTACGTCCAAAAAACTAATATGACTACTGTCGATAATAGGGAATATAAAAGTTCGTATTCGTCGTGGGCGAAAATTTAAAGATCAACAAGAGCCAAAATCAACCAAAGCAAATCAACTCAAAGATGTAAATAAAAATTATTTACATGAAAACGAAATATATCAACAAGTTGATCCAAATAAAGATCCAGATCTTCTACAAATATTGAAAGATAAAAAGGAATTTTTTGAACGGTTAGGCTGCCGTTTTGGAAGTCCTTGTCAATTATCTATGGTGACTCATTTCCGCAGTTACAAAGAAGCTCGTATATTAACAAGAGGCGATAGAGATATAATTATAAAGCGATTAACTGAAGAGGTATATACTTTTGTCTTCACATCTTATTCAATTTCTATGCATTATAGTCACGGCGCATTATTCCCTATAATATGAACCTTTTGAAAACATTTCGATGTAATCATGATATTCAAGTTATTACTGACCCATGGGCATCAGCAGAATATTTATTTTCTTATGTTGCAAAAAATGCTCATATGGAAAAAGACTTAGTCTATCAATTGTCAAACTGTACTTGTGAAAGTTTGACAGAAGCGAAAAGTGTTCTTTTAAAAACAGGAAATGCCATCTTGTCACATCGTCAAGTTGGAAAAGTTGAAGCATCTTGGACCGTATTAGGTACTTTCAACTATTTTACTCTTACAACCGTCGTGTTATATTTCAGGAATCCCACTATATCATTCTTCAATGAGATACAAAAGTTTGTATATTTCTTTGCCTTGGGAGGAGGAAAGAATTCTCAAACGAGGAAGAATTGAAGTTAATACTACAGATGATTTTATTGAATCTTTAACGCACAAATATGTAAAGCGGCCATCTACTCCAGCAGTTATAGATCAAATGACGTTATTTGAATTTTTAACTTGGTTTGATTATGATCGATCTTCATCCGCTAAACTACAGGACGCTTTAGAAGAACCACTAGTACAAAATCCTCTGTGGCGTACTAATTTCGAACAGCCAGCTCTCCTTAAAACATCCGCTTTACTTCCTCGTATTGTTCTTTCATGTGGAACAGTATTAATTCAACACAAAGAGCCAACTTGCATTAGCTTCATTTGTAGATATGATAACTCTATGTTAGCTATGTATTCTATGCTTTGCATCGGAATTTCTTACAGGAATCCAATTGAAGAATTTCTCAATAGCAAACTGGGTATATTTTGAAATTCATTACGAGAGTTTCACATCAACGTTACATATCCTTTTCGTAGAAAACGATGTAAAAGCTATTCATCAAGTCTTACTGAAACATCGAACTGAATTAAGTGAACAATTTGGTAGATTACCTGGAGCTTATCAAGTCCAAATGCTTAATTCACTCGAACTTCTATGCGATTTAAACAATCATGATTTTTTTATTCAACCAAAAACGTCGTTTATATTTACAGGAGATGATGATGATTCAGAAGATGGTATGAACCAAAATACTATAGATAGTTCTATTGCAAATACTGAACTTGATAAAAAAGATTTGAACAAAAATGCTACACGAGAAAGTATCAACGATCAAAATGATGAAGACTTAGATACCTATCAAGATCTAAAAATCAATTTCCCATGCACACGAACACAAGAATTATTAGCATCAGCAAATGATCAACAGCGCTTTCTTGCTGATTTCTTAAAACAATATCTGGCTGCAGTTATGCAATATGAACAGAGGAAGCTTCGAGTTCCTAACATATCTAAACCGCTTCCATTTCATATCGTTGTGAATGGTTTAGCTGGTTCCGGAAAATCTTATGCAATCAGTATCATCGAACAAATGCTAACTGATTTTTGCATAAGTGAATCAGCTATTCGAAATCGTCCAAGAAGAAGAAAAGGATTGCTAAAGATGGCTCATACTGGAAAAGCTGCTCTAAATATCCATGGATGGACTATTCATACTGCTCTAAGCATGGTAAACTTTTCAATTCTATTTCCAACTTCAAAGTAACTGTATGACTTGTTATTAGCGTCCTGATAATACAACAACACCAAACAATGCACCAGCATTTAAGCTACATTCACTTCGAAATAGACTTGGTGAATTAATTTTGATAATCATTGATGAAATCTCTCTTGTTTCATATAATCTTTTCCAAAAAGTCAACAAACGTCTAAATGAAATATTTCAAGTATCGGATAAAAGTGATACGTACTTTGGAAACATTCCAATATTATTATTTGGCGATTTAGCTCAATGTGAACCAGTTGCTGCTAAACAAATTTTCTGGCGACCATCTACTGAAACTTTTTCCCTTTGGACTGATCTGTTTAGACCAATTAATTTCAATATTAATATGCGACAAGGAGAAGATCGAGAATTTTTTGAGATTCTATGTCGAATGAGATTAGGTAACTTGATTGTTCTCTTCATTTAAATAATGCATGTTCCATAAAATGTTCAGGTCAATACACTGAACAAGATGAAGTGGCCATTAAATCTAGAAGTATACGAAAAGAAGATAATTTAATCTATTACAAAGATCGATTGGAAGAGTTGAACTCTTCTGACTTCAGTGATACGATATATGCATATAGCGTACGATCTAAAACAAACGAACGTAATTCGATGAAATTGAAAGAAACTGCGATGAAATTGAAAAAACCTATTTGGATAATCCAGTCAATCGACGTTAGTTAGCAAATTAGATAAAATATTACCTGTGAGCTAATTTATTTAGAAAATTGGTATGGCTAGAACATCCCTTTTTAATCCCATTCATGCGAGCAAAAAAGAATATCGAATTCAATTGAAACCATCAGATGATGAAAATGAATGTGGATCAATGTTCCGACAACTTCCACTTTGTATTGGTGCACGAGTCATTTGTAGGCGAAATATTGATTTTGATGGGCAAATGGTAAACGGTACCGAAGCAATTGTAAAAGATATCATCTGGGAAGATAGCCAAGAAATCGTATTGCCAATATCAAATACATGTGTATTTCCAAATCTGGATAGAGCAATTACTGTTACATTGCCAAAATACGTAGAACTCGGTAACAGAAAATGGAATATTCAATCCATTTAAACCTAACTGTTTTTTCTTGTCAAAAGAATTAGAAGATGGTTCCATTTACAAAATGCTAACAGAGGAAGTCAGTTTTAAAGACAAAAATGGAATTTGGATGACAAGAAGACAACTGCCACTTAGTCTTGGTTATGCAATAACAGTTCATCGTTCACAATGTATGACTTATAATAAGTTAGTTGTTGATCTAACCGGAAAAAACTGGAAGCCAGGAATGTTCTATACAATTTTGAGCCGCACGAGAAAATTAACTGATATTATCATCTTAGCATACGACCGAAAATCTTTCAAAGTAAATTATATTTCCATTAGAAGCTCCTGAACATCTACGAATCGTCTAGGTATCTAAATCTGCACTTAACGAGATGATTCGCCTTGAAAAAATTGAGCAAGAATATCCCATAAAAATCGAACATTATTTACGATCTGAGGTTAAATAAGTTTTCTTCTTATTTGTCGAAATTCTATAGATTTCTATAGAGATATGTTGATTGGTGTCTTTCTCGTCCATTTGATCAAGCTGAAACATCATCCGTAGTATCATCAAAAACTAGTACAACCACACTGATTAAAATCGATTCCAAACGTCCGAAATATGAAGCTTCAACATTCTCTACGTCTACCTCTTTGAAAAAGCCTGAAGATATTATTATTTGTGAAAAACAAGAGAGTCTTTATTGTGGACGCCATATGCTTCGTGCAGTATCACAAAGATTAGATCTATTCAGTGACACATATTTAAAAGAAGTGGCTCAAAACCTAGCAAACTTTGAACAAATATATTCTCATCAAGAATCTGTACTTGTAACTGAATATTATCATGAAAATACGGGAGAATATAATATTGATGTACTCAAAGCTGCTCTTCTCAATATTTTTAATGTCGATCTTATACAAATTCGTCGATTTGAAGAAAACATATCCCCACTACAAACATTGATTGCGTCCAATATTACAAATATTCAAGCATTGATTATACAACAAGATTATCATTATTACTGTTTACGTCGTTTTGAGTTAACAAAAGATTATTTTTTCAAATTAGACTCAAAAAACCCAATGAATCATGAACGTATTCATATTGATAATTTACGTAATTATCTTCAAGAACTTATTGATATAGGTGCCAATGTTTATGTGACAATACTACGAAATCTCGATGAAGAAGAAGATGGCAACTGTGCGAATAATATACAAACAAGACTTTGGCCTTTTCCACAATCAAAAGCTGATCTTGAAGTTTTGATTGTAAATCAAGGAAATCAATAAATCATACATGCGTATCTGATACGTCTATTGCTGAAACTATCGCACGAAACAAAAACAACGATTGACGTATTTTATTCTCAAACAAATTCTATTCGCATTGCACAAATTCCTCATACTCTTCGATTGATCTTATAATATTTATGCGAATTTTCCTTATCTTCTGTTTTACGTGATGAAATTCGATCGTTCATGAGATTGAAATGGTCAATAATACAATTAAAAATTCGGTATTGGTATCGAAAATGTACATGAATCTTATCACACGAAAGTTGATAAACGTCAATCGGCAAATTTAATACTTTGAAATTCTTTTCATAAGATAATCGATTCAATTGTTCATTGTAACACTCAATATTATTCATTAATTGTTTTTCAGTTCGAAACTTTCGGGTGCTTTTCAAACAAGGCATTGTCGCACATATTGTAATAGATCCAGAACGATTCAGTTGAACATAGCTATGTTTAAGAAAGAAAACTATCTCTTGAATTTGATTAATTATTTCGAATGATGTAAAACATCGAATTGAATTTGTACCAATTAAAAACAGAACTGAATCTGTATCTTCCAATGCTGTTTGCAATTCATGAGAAAAAAGCATATGTAATAATGATAGATTCTTTTGATAATTATCCACGAACTTTAAACCAGGGATTGACTTAATAATTACTGTATATGGTAGTTTTGATAAATACGAAGCCATGTTTTTTCCATGACTGTCAGCAATGATTAGAAATTTCATTGTTGATTCGTAGAAAGAAACTCGTTTTTGTTCTACGTATCTATAGAATATGTAACCACAGTGAATAATGATAAAACTACGCGCACTAGTGTTTGCACAAAATCAATTTTCTCACTATAAATTACACACAAAAGAACGATCAGTATAAATCATTAAAAATAAATCCTTGTTGCATTCAAACATAACTTCCACTAGAAACGGAAGTAATCAAGCAAACTAAAAATCAATAATCTGTCTAACATATCATCAGCTATCAGTTAAATGCATCATTTGAATCTTGACATATTTGTTCGTAACGTATGATTTCAATATCTTCGAAAGAAAAATCGTTTTTGCTCTAATCTAATAATAGAAGCGCTCAATCTAATTCACTAACATTTCCTTTCTTTCTAAGTCAACAGTTTCTTTCACAATCTATCTGTTTTGAAATTTCAATATGGAAGCATCAAACGATATCATTTTACCAACCAATATAATCAAACAAATCAGTGAAGAAATGAGTGGAAAAGATCTCTTTCATTTTACACTTGCAACGTATTATTATCTTGATATCACTGATTACCATTTGATAAAGTTGCTTCACAATCGACCAAATATCTCTTTGACAAGTGAAATCGAGTCACTCATTCGTATGTCCAAATCGCCTTATTTTTTATTGGATGATAAAATTGCTGTTGTTTTATCAACGAATAAATGGAATACATTTGTTTATGGACCATTCACACTAAATATAATTGAGAAATCATTGAAATACTTTTGCACAAGCGTATTTTGCTTGTACGCACGTTTATGGTCATTTACACCATTTTGCTATTCACCAACATATCCAACTCTTGAAATATTCAACTACTCTTGTAACGAAATCGTTTTTCGAAATTTATATATTAATCTACGTTTCTAACTAGATCTTCTTCAATCACGAGAATTGACAGTTGATGAACGTGCTTTATTTTCAGTATGGGGCGATAATCAAATATCACCAAAACTTGTTCTAAATTTCGAACAATTTCGAGAAAACTTTAACGCTCGATATAACTATAAATTCTGGGAAACCGACATTGACTGGAATTTATTTGTAATTGCAGGTGGTTCGGTTACATTATCATTATTAAAACAAACATCATTACAAAAAGGATCGGATGTCGATTTATTTTTTCTGAAAAAAGGTTCAAAATTATTTCAACAATCTGTGGTAAGAAATCTCTTTTCTATTCGTATTCGGCATATCTGGAAAAAGAAATGAAGACTTTGATTCAAATTATCCGAGCACCTATTCGCAAAAACCTGAAGAATAAAACAGAACGAATCCGTTTACAGAAATTCCATTAGAGAAATTTTTCTTTTCATATTTTCTAGAACCAATTAGAAGTCCGATTACAAAATAAATATTTTGTAAAGAGAAGAACTATATGGTCAAATCGATTAGTTCAATTTGAATTGTTTCAAAAAATAACAATTAAAGACATTTTTCAGAGCAAAACCTTTTCACCATTAATCATCATGCAACTAATTCGTCCAACACATACTGCATCAAATGTCTCTCAAATCATTCATTCATTTGATCTCGATGTTTGTGCAGCAGCATTTAATTCTAAACAAGTAACGATTTCATTTGCTTGCTTACAAGCATTAAATTCAGGTCATGCGACTTGTTATGATATGCCAACATCATCATCACAATACATGAGAAGAGTAGTACGATTACTTAAATATGAACAACGAGGTTTCAACATATTATACCCCAAACAGTTTGATATAAATACATTTCTCTCTACTCCTATTGAAGATTGTAAAGAAACTCAACCAGAACGAATTTATCGTTTTCGACGCCGACATTTTGGAGATAATTGTGACCATTTCTCTATTCAAAAACAATTTTGTGAATACTATCGTTTGAATTAATTTCATCCATATAGAAAAATAAAGACTAATCTTTGAACATTCACAAAAAGAACAATTTCATTCAGTTCACGATGTCGTCAATAAATACACGCTCATGAGTACTCAACTAATAAGATCTTTAAGAAAAGAAAACCAGATTGCTGAAAAAATTCTTCTGTAGTTTTATGCGAAAAAATACAGAGAGATTGAACAATTAAGCTCGTAGACAAAATCTAAAAGTAAAAACAAAAACCTTGTTTAGTTATTCTTCTTATTCATCGTTCGTGAACGAAACTAAACAGTTCTATGCCAAATCACAATATCAGCGGCATTTCATGAAATCTAAAAGCAAATATTAAGAAATACATTAGTTTGATGGAAAATTCAATTCTGTATGAATTTCGTCAATTCTTAGTGGTAGAAAAAAAGCTGAAGGGATGAATGCTTTTTCAATTATTTTCTACAACTTATCTACATGTATTGATGAAGAAAAAAACACTCTACAGAAATTCTTCACAAAACTTGTTGCTTAAATAAAACGGCCACTGATGAATAGCGAATTCAAATCTGTACCGATTGCATCGGCTTTCAACGACAAAAAAACAAACTAAAGATAGAAGTGCTCTCTCGTTTATTCTCTTTAAGCCGGTTATATGTATTGATAAAAAAAGATTCATCTGAATTCTTCTTTTCACGTTTTTTATTGAATGACACCTTCAGTAGTCACTGTAGACTAAAATTCTATACCAATTCTATTACCTCTTATCAATACACATTCAAACCAAACGGAGGAACTCTCTCCCTTCATCAATGGTGAAAGTACACATATTCAATTGAGAAAAACCATTCTCTAACAATCTATTGAAAACTCTTTTCTTCATAAGATCAGTAAGCGTTCGCCTTTTCAAAAAAGAAACATTCTCTAGACGACAACTTTTTGGGATTGATCTTACACATTGTTCTACTTAATGACGTTGTATTTAAATAGTCTACTATCAGTTTATGTTGTTAACTTATTACATAATATCTAAGCAATTCTACATTCTGATTCGTCAATTTGTAGTTTTTCTCTTTCAGTTGACCACAAACTATTGTAATGAAACTTTTTCGAATCGTAAGCAAGATGTATTTGATTATCATTTGAAATGAAAATAGATGGTTTGAAAAGCAATGGACGTTGTTCATAATGATAAATAGTAATTGCTCGTTGTATGAAGATTGCAGAAGCCACTATTACGATACCATCAACGAATATTCTATTTTCACACAGTTCGTAAATGAAATTTTCCCATGACGAGTAATAATTATAACCAATAATTCGTTGAAATTTTTCACCGTTATTATTTATGAGACCAATAATAAGAGCACGTAACACAATGTGTGCATCTTCTGAGTCACATATTTGATTCCTTAATGCTCTAAAATAACAATTTCCATCAGACTCTACAGATTTGACAATCATCAGCAAAGAACATCTTGATTTAAACGCTAGCATGCAGTTTGATTTCTGGTATGCAATAGGATTATCTTCATTCTTATCTTGCTGGACATACTAAACAGTATAAGATAAATGAAAAAGAATAATTATTGTCGTGATACCGCGATTATGCGAATTTTGAGTACATACCGTCCGATTATGATTCATTTTATTTATATCATGCAGCTTTTGAGTAGGTAAAAATAAAACCGAAGCGTCATTCAACTTTGCTCTAATCAAATGAATAACTGGAGACACGTCATTATTTTGATAAATATTTTTTGACTTGTCTTCATGTATACAAATCGTAATTCCATATTCATGAACAACTCACATAATGCACAATGGAAATGAATCAAAATCGTTTTCAAATAATCTACAAATATCAATCTATTAATTTACAAATATTTCATACATAACTTTGTCCAGCTGACGATTTCTTTTCTCCATTTAACGTAGATGTGATTGAATCTATTTCACCTTCATTATGGAACAAACATCTACATAATGCTCTTTCGAACGATCGATCAGTTGGACTAATATAAATCATAGGCAATCCGTACTCATAAAAAAGACATTCTTCTAGATAAATTGTCTTGAATACATCCTTCCAATGCAAAAACATAGAAAAAAAATTCCTTTTTTACTGTCAAATTCATATAAATTTGTATTCGAAAATCGAAATATTTATCGCGCAAATTTCTTAACTCATTTTCATATCATTTGATTCAAATAATTCTTTTCAATTCTTTCGAAATTTTTGCGATAAAAGAACTTCACAAATGAAACGCACAAATACGAGCCATGAAAATTCGATCAGTATCAACAACACATCTAATGTAACAATCGAAGGTGTTGTTGTAGCCATCAGCAATCTGACACACAAACAAAATCAAAGAACAACTTCATTTTGGACTGCATTATTATGTCAGTCAGATCAGAATATCATCAGAATTACCAAATACTTATCGTGTAAACGCAAATGTACATTACATGAAAAACTAGTCGACTTCTATAATAAGCAAGATGGTTGTGAAGTAAATAAACTGAAATTCAATACTGATGACAGCTATACAGCAAGTCACGAAACAACTGTCGCCGCAAAACAATTATCAATTAAACCAAATTGTTTAGAACTTATTCAACTAGAACAAATTGAAAGTAAATGTGATGGTGAATATATTAGTTTCCTCGCAAAAATTCTTGAAATCGGTCCTGTGAGTTCTATCTAATCTTGCTTGTGAAGCAAATATGTGCCATATAATTTAGGATGAAAATGTCATTTTCAATAATGCAGACAAACGAGTTTTGAAATTGAAGAGAGCAATCGTTATTGCCGACAAAACAACCTCCATCTGCATGAATATATGGCAAGATCAATTCCATTTAATTAAACAGAATTCCAGCTATAAAATTAAGCTAGCCAAGGTGAAATTTTTTAATAATGAAGCATCTGTAACAACAATTTCGAGTACAACGTAAATATGCTTTTTCCTGTTGTTTTACCATTATTATGAATTCATATTTGTTTCCCATATTCTAAGCTTTGAAGAAATCAATGACATAGGTGATGTGCAAACGTCTGAAATTGTTGAATTTGATCATGATATAAATGTACTTGGCAGCATCGTTTCAATCGGATTAATTGAACAACAGCCCGTCTGTTCTAAATGTTATTCTAAATCGGTTGAAATAACTGAAAGAACTCTGAAATGTAACCGATGTAAGACGAGATATATCATGAAAAACGATGCCCAAGAAAATCGACTGAAATTAACTATCAATACATCTGATGATAAATCGGTGGAATTGATCATTGAAAAACAAAAAATCAAACAACTATTAGAACAATGCAATCATACTCATTTATCAGAAGAAGATTTGTTGGAAAATGAATCAGTTTTATTAACATTATCATCAATTAGCCTTTCAATTAAGTACAACTCAAAAAATAAAACTGTCATAAATATTGAAATACATAATATTTAAAATACATAATATTCAAATCTAAAACAATTATTCGTCGAAACATTTTTCGAGCTTCTCTAATCTCCTTAAATAATCATTTCGTTTTTTCTCGATAATAAAATATCATACTCGAAACAGAAATTTCTTTTCGATCAATTGAATAAACAGTTGAATCGTTTTTTAATCTCGAACCAAGCATCGGTCTTCACCCTCTCAAGTTTCAATAAATCAAACGTTCTGCATTCAAAATAAATGACTTCTTTCAAACAACACCGTTATAGAATGTTTCTGCATTGGTCAATCAACAATATCAAACAAAAATATTACGTACAAATCATTATTATCATGGTTGTAACAGATCGATCGTGTTTCACATTTTTAATCCCGAAAGGGATTATGCTGAAAGCTTTTTTCGCGAGTCTTTGTTTTTCGGACGTTCGAATACAAAAACGCATATAATCATCCCCTTCGCCTTCATCAGGGGTGATCGGTTTGAGATTCTCTTTTCGAACAAGATAACAGTCATGATACATTGAATTTGATTGACGACTAACTAGAAACTCGAGGTTGAATAGTGTGTGTCCACTACGCCGACTTGAAGTCAATTGCACAACTAGAAAAAAAAAGACTTCACTGAATCAGCATAGACTTCATTGATTATTTGTCGTTCAAGACAAGGAAAATAATGCTTAAAATAATATTCATTTTGAAAAATTGTATGTAACCAAATGACGATTATTAGTTGTGATATTTTATAGAATCGTTTGAAAACATGACATTTTGGTTTAAGATTAACTCAAAAATTCTATTTTGACATGAAACAAATGAAGATAAATATTTATTTTTATTCAAGGTTAACAGAGAAAAATTGTTCATTGAACAGTTATGTCAAGTTCAGCTTCAAACACAGGTATTCGAGGGATCTTTTCTTTGAATATTGGAATATTCAGAACAAAACAATGCCAGAAATCTGGTTTCACAACGAATGTTACGCATAAACCATTGCTCGGGCAACACCAACAACCAATGTAACTGCGACAATATCTGTTTGCCCAATCTTTGAACTTCTGGTAATTTAATGCCATGAATAATCGATAACGCCACCAGCAGTCAGTCGGTGGTTTGACGATGATATCATACGGAATTAACTTGACAGCACTGTATTGATGTTTATCTTTAAGTTGAACTTCGAGCACATTTTGATCACATTCAGTCAATCCTCGATATTGTTCTTCGCTCAATGTCAGTTCACCTGTTTCTATATCAACTCGTTCAATTGTAGCTGCATTGATCAATGCAAAAGATAAAATTGTGATTAATAAGATTGTTTTGTACATGTTGGATTGTATGAATGAGGTTTTGGTAGAGTTTGCCCGGTTTTATAGGTAGAACGAAATAGTTGGATGCGTAAAAGAGAATAATAGATGACGACAGAGTAATGATGCGTATAAGAGGTATTTATGTCGAACGATTTCTATTGACGTCATGAAGGTATGGTCATGAAAACATGACTTATATTTTGTGTACGGAATAGTTTAAAATAGGTTTAATATAATTGATAGATAATATTTCGGTTGGTGATCATGTTTTGCTTATTTTGCTGTTCTGTACTGTTTATAATTCGAAAATACGCACATAATAGTAAATATTATGCTTTTGAACAGAAATGACGTCGAACTGTAACTAATTACTCTCAGGATGAAAGAATATGGACGTAGTTAATTTTTTTCGACTCGTTACGTGCAAGAGCAGCCCATTCTTGAGAGTGAGGCAGTAGTGTCAAAATTAACAGTTGAATTCAACTATTCAACGGTACAACTATCTACATATATTACAGCGATAACTCCCAAAGAAAACTCATGACATGCTTTTCTTGACGTTGCCTTCTTTGCGTTCTCAACCGCGTCCCAAACATGTTTATACTCAAGAAATTTTTCCGTAGAAGTTAGTTTGTTTTTCTAATTATGAATTTTACACTTCGAAAAATGTACCAGCAGAATGAATATATAAATAAACAACGTGTATGAAATGATGCCGAAACGAAATTAATAGAAAAAAAAACAAATTATTTGTTGATAAACACTCATATCATACATTTAATTACTTAATTAAAGAATATTGTCTGAAATAAATATTTACGAATGTCTCACCTATAATAAAATTAATATCTATTTTCATATATATCGTATATGATATCAAAATAATAACTGCTTGTTTGTCTTTATCACAATCAATTTTCTTGTTCGTTCTCTCTCTCTCTTCCTATCTATATATACGTACGTGCCATATCATCATTACTTGACAAATCAATTTCAATCGTACTCGTCTACTGTTACACATCGCAATACTACTATTCAAATGTTTTCGTCTGGACTTACGCCTTCGGCATTTTCGTCTTCAAGTTATTTCGGTTCTCCATTTAGTAGATCTTTCAGTTTTAGTGGAATGATGCCTTTTGGACAGTTTTCTGGATGTTGTTATCCATTCTGTTGTAGTCCTTTATATCCAGTCATTTGTTGTGCACCAAAACGTGCTACTACAACAACTTTTGGTGATATATATGACGATTATGATGATATAGTACCATATCCAGAGTATACATACTAGCATTTTTATTTTTTATTTTAGTAAAATAAATCTTTAGTTTACAAAAAAAAACTAATGTTTTGTCTGTATGCTAAATAATAATGAGCAATCTTAAAATAACATTATTATCTATTAAACAATGCGAGTATATCGGAAAGCTTCCGCATGAAAAATCAAACGTATTGTGTCCTGCAATAATGTAAAGAAATGCGATGACCATGTTTGTTGGTATTAAACAAAGACAAACGTAAAAGGAAAAACACCGTTGTGTATAACAAAGACATAGAAAAAGCAAATCAGGACATGACGATCAACAGACGATGCACACCTTCACCCTCACACCCTTGACAGTGTTTCGGTGATACTTGAAAGAGACAACGTCCTCCAGTAGAAACCAGTTCGACTTAATGAGTTTTTATTTGCAGTGTTCGCGTTCTTAAAGTTCACATGTGCTATTTATTCTTTATGATGTATCAAAAAAGCATATAATCTGTCGAACGAAAGATAAAAACAAATTGATTTCTTGATTAAATAATTAAAGAAAAGTTTAAATGTTATATTTATTGAGTACAGTATCGGTACGCACAGGCTCCAGGTGCATATAATCCGTGCACATAGTACCCATTGCAATTTGTTATTACATTCCAGCCTGCTGCATATGTTCCACACGCGAATCCTTGAGCTGAGTTGCGTGGTGATGTAGCTCATCGTGTTCCACCTGGACTTACAAAGCGAACAAATGTCGGAACATTTGTACTAGTACTGCTGAAGACAGTTGAGTCACAGACTCCATTTGCACCAGCTGTTGTTAAACGTGTTGTATCATTGATTGTGGTATAATTGAAACACTGTGCTGGTAATGCCACAGTAGTCGTAACTGAAATCAAATAAAAAACAAGTAAGTTTGCGTTCACTTTGCCATCAGCTACCTGTATTAGTTGTTGTTGATGACGGAGGAAAAAGTGTTGTAGTTGACTGAAACAAAGTACTAGGCGGTGTTTGAATAGTGGAATATGAAGTTGACAATGCCAATCCTATACGATTGTTTTGCATATCAAACACGCTATAAAAACGTCTCAGGAAAAAGTCGCCAAGAATCCAAATTGGATTTGAGTTCGCATCATTTTGGCTTATTGTTGATATAACACTGTAACATATGTAGTTCGAAGGGCCACCTGCTATTTGAATATACATCAAGGGCGTGAGAGTGAATGGAACGCCGCTGATAATTATCGTTATGTTAGGAAATGCTGACAAAGGTTTCGTTTGACAATTAACAGTGTACTGCAAATGCAGAAAAGAGACAACATAGAAAGTATTTATACAATTTTCTGTTCTTACCCATCCAAATGTTGAATTCCAAGTCGCACCCAAAATCGAATTGATTGCATTTACATAGATCGCTGGGCCCAGAATAGCAGCTGTTGTTCCAGTATCTAAAATAGCGTTGATTGCTGATGCTATTGTCGTTGTCGTCGATCCAACAGTGACTCCAATACTGTCAGCAACAAATTCCCAAAAACCTTTCACAGCAACAGTGGCATACGTAAAACACCCGGTGTACTTCGTTGTGTCATAGCCACCTAAGATCAATTCACCTGTATCGGAACCAGTCGATACTCTAATTTTAGAAAGATGACGCTTAGAAAACAACTTGTGAAACACTTACGGGCCAAACCAAAAGCCAAATAATGGTAGACTTAGTTGACCAAGTCGATACATTGCCCATATCAATGGCTCTTCACCACCGCTTGTAATACTTTGATATCCCATACCTAGTAGCCCGTCAGTGNTGGCAAAATATTGAGAAACAACATACCGTTTTATACCAGGACTAATAGAACTTCCGCCACTTGTAGCTGCAGCATCAGTACTCGGACCGAATACAAACGCGATAACGAGTACTGAGAATGTCACGATAGTCAGAAACTTATTCATGTTGCTCAAAACCAATGACGATAATCAATGAACAACAAAAAATGAATGAATTGACGTGAGTATATATAGTGATACGTAATCAAGGGTGGTGAGCTTTTTTCCCATCACTTTTTAATTAATTGTTACATTTTCCTTTAGTTGACGCCCTTATTTTTGTCGTTATTACTCATCGTTGACGTTCTTGCACTTTTATGGGTGGCTGGTTACTTCCTTAAAATTATTTATACTCAGCAGCATGATTCAGAAAACGAAAGGAAATGGACGTTTTCATAATTGCATTTTGATAACTGAAAATTATTTAATAGTAAATGTGAAGAAAAAATTGATCTGCATCACTCTGTATCATTGAAGCAAAATTATATGCTTTGAAAGTTGTACCTGATGTGCGCTAGATGATGGCAAGTCTCAATTTGTCACAACGTTCAATTTTTCGTAAACTCGCAAAAAAGCCCTACAAAGACTATGCACGGACTTATATTCGAATCGTCGCTCACCCAAACCATTTTATTCTCTGTACATGCGATCTTTATTTCACGTAATCGACGGAATATTTCCTTAGATTGCGCATTCATTGTCAATCGCATACCTTCTCCCGCAACGTATCAATATCATTTCGTTTTCCGCCATAATTTCTAATTAGATTATTCTCTGGTGAGTTCCGTTTGGTGAGATGTATGCTATGGAATGTGTATCATTACACTATTCTGTATACACAATAGGGATGACATTTAAACAAAGCAAAACGTGACAATCACAGACACTATAAATTTTATTTAATTGTTCAATTCGTTCCATAAGAGATTTTTTAGATAAAAGTTCATTTTCAAGATTAACAAAATAATTTGTCAGCAATCGTACACGTGCACTCTTGACTGTTTTCTGAGCAAACCGACATAGTAATGCCATAAGTGACTGAAATTACGAACTAGCGGAATATCGAAAATCGTTCGAATTGTCTTATCCAATCGAAATATTCTCTTCATAAATATAACTAACCTCATGATTGGATACCAATTCATTTGAACATACCTGATGAAAACGAGGTATGATCCATATGGAATTGACATTTGTGAACGCAAACATTCAATAGAATCAGAATAACGAGTGAACAGTTCCGCATAGATAGAAAATCAATTAGATGAACACGATATCTATACAGTGTCATTTTCTCAATTCATCAAAGAATAATGATGATCAAAAGCTGAAANCTTTGCCTACATTTAAATGATCACCATAATGATATGGCGAACTAGTTGTTGCATTGAGCATAGCCACAACGTATTTGTTGGAGATAACTAATTCATTTGAATACATATTTCGATAGTTCATATGCAACATCATTGCTATTGCTGAAGAAGAGGGTGAGAATGTTCGCATCGGTCTTGTTTTAGATTCACACCTATTACAAATAGAAAAAGCGACATGTCCATTAGTTCTTTTCGACTTATTCGATTCAATTCACCTGTTTCCGAAAAAGTTCGTCGAACACCAGCAAATATAATCTATAAAAGCATCGTCATAATCATCGACTGACACGAAATACCTAATTCCATTATTTAAACATGATTCGCTTGACGAAAGATATGAAGAATGAAGAAAAGAGCACGAATGGCCATACCGATTAATCGGAGAAATATACAGAAAATCTTTATATTGATCGATTCTATTATAAAACGTTGCACTGTCAATGACGCGACAGTTTTGACTGTGAATTCCACAAGAATTTATCATTGAATTCGAACATGATTTCGAACGTTTTGGATTTAGTATGACAACGAGACGAAAAGTTGGTAGAAATGGATATTTGGTTGGATAACGATGTACACTGTATAGCTTAACTAGATTTTGACCAATAGTGACGACGAAATCGTTGTTTTGTTTTTAACGGTAATGTTGTCCGATCGAATGATAGTTTCATATGGCCAATTATTTTATGTTGATATTGAAGAGACGTTACGACTCTTATACTAATCAAAATTCTCTACTGCCGGATTGAGTGCCATTTCGATTGTATAGATAACGCTTACACGGTGAGATTGATATTGACAATTGCTACCGTAAGAGCTTGATGGACATAGACAAACAAATCGTAGTGTTCTGGATGTTATTACTTTGATTGGTATCCCACGATCACAAGCCCAGACAAAATGATCATCAATTGTATAATCATAGTCTTCGTTGTGGGACTTCATAATTTTAACAACAGTTTTCTTAGCCTTCGTCGAATATTTATCTTTCGAAGTTACTGGAGCATGACATGTTTGTTCATCGGAGCCATATCGAGAGCATTCTTTAAGTTTATTGCAGCGAGTACTTTTTTTTTTGAACAGGCTGGATCGTGAAAAGTAGCATTTGATCCTAGATATAATGCACAATCAAATATTCCTAGTTTGCAATAGCGTTTGGTTAGTAGATTCACGGGATGTCGACAGTATCCACTGGACTCATCTTCGCCGGCCGAACAGTGTGAAATTCCGTCACTTAAATGTGGCAATAGCAACAACTTCTATCGGGAGCAATTGTTGGTTTATACAAGTACCATTTAAACAACGGAAGTGTTCACCGATTTGATTCTCATCTTGACCTCCTAAAAATTCAACTTTTCCATCTGCAAGTAAATGATGCTTCATTTTAATATTGATCAAATTCCATGTTGTGACATTTTGACACACCCATCGATAGCATTCCATTCATCATCACAAATACTACGCGGGGGAATACAATTGCCATTCCATAATGCTGTATCATTTCGATCATATTGGCTCCAGCTCGGTGGACATTTCATCGATGCCATATAGCACGCCCCAGAAAGAATTACAAAGATCTTGATATTTGAATGTGAATTCATTATTAACTAAAGTCATGTCGTAAGCTTGTCAAAGAAGTTGACAACCTGCATCATTTGCTTCTTCGCATGTGATGGATTTCCAATTAACCTGTTGGTACTCCTCACCTGAACCATCAGCAAAGTCCACTTGTCCATTACCTATAACTCCGAAACGTAACTAATTCAAATCTATCTGCTCAAGATGTTGGTACTCACCAATCAAATGTAGCATAATCTTTCCTGGAATAGTTTTACACTGATATCAATCGTGTAGAAACACATCATTATCATTGATTTGGACGTTTTCATCTGACCCATCTAGACAGTCTAAATAGCCATCTCACAGTCAATATTTTGAAATACACTGAGTTAAATTTAGGCATTAATAAATATTTTGAGGATGTTCTTCACACAAGTTCGTTTTTAATTTTATTCCGAATAAACCATCGAATGGGATGGACCAGTGTCGGAAAGCATCCCTCTTTGTTGAACATTGACTAGTTTGATTGCTCACGCAAAATACATCAGGAGACAACAAGAATGTAATTGGATCAATTATAGCTGTATCAATGAGTTCTTGGATTGATTCATGAGTTAAATACGCATTTACAAATGGCGAAAAGAAATGTGAGTATTTATAGATCGGAATCAATTTATCTGTAGTTTTACATTTTCTCGGTAGTTCATGTTTTATATCAAACGGCTGCTGATCCGAAATTTCCTTCCTTAATCTAACGTAGAGACGGATTAAGTCAGCACAAGGTAAATGTTCGTCATCAACGTAACCGGGTTCACAATCCATAGACAGAGTTTGATAACATAGCTGTTGACCTAATTTCAATTGCTCATCGCTGCCGTCTAAGCAATCAATTTCACCATCGCAAATATCGCGCCAATCGAGACACTGTTTCTTATTTAGACTATCAAGGCACGGGGGAAGTAGATAATAACACGACATGGGACGATTTACAAATTCTACTTTTTACGTCTTTCGCCAATCAGAAAAACTTAATCCGCGAATTTATCGGTACGAATGTATTTGTTTTCTAGTGATTTATACTCACAATATCGACCAAGTATTTTCTCAGAACTACAAACACATATGAGCATTGGATCCTTAGACATCGATATGTTTCTTTGAGCTCTTCGATCAAGAACATATTGATGGAATGTATCGATCAAATCAAAGGGAATATTCTCCTCCAATAACCATTGAATAGTTCAATCTGAAGAATAAACTACTTACAGATATAATCTCGAAGAGAAGCTCTGTCATACTTGATCTGTACAACGCTTCAAATGTAATTTTACGTTCACTGCGAAGAGAACATTATGCTGCTTTTTCCGTGAATCTTTGTTTTTCGGGCATTCGAATACAAAAACGCATATAATCACCCCCTTCGTCTCCATCAGGGGTGATCGGTTTGAGATTCTCTTTTCGAACAAGATAACAATCATGATAAATTGAATTTGATTGATGACTAACTAGAAACTCGAGGTTGGATAGTGTGTGTCTACTACGCCGACTTGAAGTCAATTGCACTACTAGAAAAAAAAAGACATCACTGGATCAGCATAGACTTCATTGATGTATCAATGAATTACTTGGTGATTTATTGTTCAAGAAAGGAAAATAATGGTTAAAATAGTATTTATTTTGAAAAATTGTATGTAACCAAATGACAATTATTAGTTGTGATATTTTATAGAATCGTTAGAAAACATGACATTTTTCGACATGAAACAGATGAAGATAAATATTTATTTTTATTCAAGGTTAACAGAGAAAAATAGTTCATTGAACAGTTACGTCAAGTTCAGCTTCAAACACAGGTATTCGAGGGATCTTTTCTTTGAATATTGGAATATTCAGAACAAAACAATGCCAGAAATCTGGTTTCACAACGAATGTTACACATAAACCATTGCTCGGACAACACCAACAACCAATGTAACTGCGACAATATCTGTTTGCCCAATCTTTGAACTTCTGGTAATTTAATGCCATGAATAATCGATAACGCCACCAGCAGTCAGTCGGTGGTTTGACGATAATATCATACGGAATTAACTTGACAGCAGTATATTGATGTTTATCTTTAAGTTGAACTTCGAGCACATTTTGATCACATTCAGTCAATCCTCGATATTGTTCTTCGCTCAATGTCAGTTCACCTGTTTCTATATCAACTCGTTCAATTGTAGCTGCATTGATCAATGCAAAAGATAAAATTGTGATTAATAAGATTGTTTTGTACATGTTGGATTGTATGAATGAGGTTTTGGTAGAGTTTGCCCGGTTTTATAGGTAGAACGAAATAGTTGGATGCGTAAAAGAGAATAATAGATGACGACAGAGTAATGATGCGTATAAGAGGTATTTATGTCGAACGATTTCTATTGACGTCATGGAGGTATGGTCATGAAAACATGACTTATATTTTGCGTACGGAATAGTTTAAAATAGGTTTAATATCACTGATAGATAATATTTCGTTTGATGATCATGTTTTACTTATTTTATTGTTTTGTAGTGTTTATAATTCGAAAATACGTACATAGTAGTAAATATTATGTTTTGAACAAGAATGATATACTTCACTTATGCTGCATAATGACGTCGAACTGTAACTGATTACTCTCAGGATAAAAGAATATGGACGTAGTTTTTTTTTTCGGCCCGTTACGTGCAAGAGAAGTCCATTCTTGTGAGTGAGGCAGTAGTGTCAAAATTGACAGTTGAATTCAACTATTCAACGGTACAACTATCTAAATATATTACAGCGATAACTTCCAAAGAAAACTCATGACATGCTTTTCTTGACGCTGCCTTCTTCGCGTCCTCAACCGCGTCCCAAACATGTTTATACTCAAGAAATGTTTCCGTAGAAGTTAGTTTGTTTTTCTAATTATGAATTTTACACTTCGAGAAATGTACCAGCAGAATGAATATATAAATAAACAACGTGTATGAAATTATGCCGAAACGAAATTAATAGAAAAAAAACAAATTATTTGTTGATAAACACTCATATCATACATTTAATTACTTAATTAAAGAATATTGTCTGAAATAAATATTTACGAATGTCTCACCTATAACAAAATTAATATCTATTTTCATATATATCGTATACAATATCAAAATAATAACTGCTTGTTTGTCTTTATCACAATCAATTTTCTTGTTCACTCTCTCTCTCTCTTCCTATCTATATATACGTGCCATATCATCATTACTTGACAAACCAATTTCAATCGTACTCGTCTACTGTTACACATCGCAATACTACTATTCAAATGTTTTCGTCTGGACTTATGCCTTCGGCATTTTCGTCTTCAAGTTACCTCGGTTCTCCATTTAGCAGATCCTTCAGTTTTAGTGGAATGATGCCTTTTGGACAGTTTTCTGGGTGTTGTTATCCATTCTGTTGTAGTCCTTTATATCCAGTCATTTGTTGTGCGCCAAAACGTGCTACTACAACAACTTTTGGTGATATATATGACGATTATGATGATATAGTATCATATCCGGAATATACATATTAGCATTTTAATTTTTTATTTTAGTAAAATAAACCTTCAGTTTACGAAAAAGAGCTATTGTTTTGTCTGTATGCTAAATAATAATGAGCAATCTTAAAATAACATTATTATCTGTTAATCAATGCGAGGGTGTCGGGAAACTTCCGCATGAAAAATCAAACGTATGGTGTCCTGCAATAATGTAAGGAAATGCGATGAGCATGTTTGTTGGTATTAAACAAAGACAAAACTAAAAGGAAAAACACCGTTGTGTATAAAAAAAAAGGCATAGAAAAAGAAAATCAGGACATGACGATCAACAGACAATACACATCTTCACCCTCAAACCGACACCCTTCTCTTCCTTAAAGTTCACATATGCTATTTATTCTTTATGATGCATCAAAAAAGCATATAATCAGTCAAACGAAAGATAAAAACTATTTGATTTCTTGATTAAATAATTAAAGAAAAGCTTAAAGGTTATATTTATTGAGTACAGTATCGGTATGCACAGGCCCCAGGTGAATATAATCCATGCACATAGTACCCATTGCAATTTGTTATTACATTCCAATAAACGGAACCAAAGCATGGATTACCATTATAAGCAAAACATGCAAATGCACTGACACTTTGACCGACAACAGACGGGTAAGTTGCATTAGTCCAGCCTGCTGCATATGTTCCACACGCGAATCCTTGAGCTGAGTTGGGTGGTGATGTAGCTAATCGTGTTCCACCTGGACTTACAAAGCGAACAAATGTCGGAACATTTGTACTAGTACTGCTGAAGACAGTTGAGTCACAGCCTCCATTTGCACCAGCCGTTGTTAAACGTGTTGTATCATTGATTGTGGTGTAATTGAAACACTGTGCTGGTAACGCCACAGTAGTCGTAACTGAAATCAAATAAAAAAACAAGTAAGTTTGCGTTCACTTTGTCATCAGCTACCTGTATTAGTTGTTGTTGATGACGGAGGAAAAAGTGTTGTAGTTGACTGAAACAAAGTACTAGGCGGTGTTTGAACAATGGAATACGATGTTGACAATGCCAATCCTATACGATTGTTTTGCATATCAAACACGCTATAAAAATGTCTCAGGAAAAAGTCGCCAAGAATCCAAATTGGATTTGAGTTCGCATCATTTTGACTTATTGTTGATATAACACTGTAACATATGTAGTTCGAAGGACCACCTGCTATTTGAATATACATCAAGGGCGTGAGAGTGAATGGAACGCCGCTGATGATTATCGTTATGTTTGGAAATGCTGACAAAGGTTTCGTTTGACAATTAACAGTGTACTGCAAATGCAGAAAAGAGACAACATAGAAAGTATTTATACAATTTTCTCTTCTTACCCATCCAAATGTTGAATTCCAAGTCGCACCCAAAAGCGAATTGATTGCATTTACATAAGTGGCTGGGCCCAGAATAGCAGCTGTTGTTCCAGTATCTAAAATAGCGTTGATTCCTGATGCTATTGTCGTTGTCGTCGATCCAACAGTGACTCCAATACTGTCAGCAACAAATTCCCAGAAACCTTTCACAGCAACAGTGGCATACGTAAAACATCCGGTATACTTCGTTGCGTCATAGCCACCTAAGATCAATTCACCTGTATCGGAACCAGTCGATACTCTAATTTTAGAAAGATGACGCTTAGAAAACGACTTGTGAAACACTTACGGGCCAAACCAAAAGCCAAATAATGGTAGACTTAGTTGACCAAGTCGATACATTGCCCATATCAATGGCTCTTCACCACCGCTTGTAATACTTTGATAACCCATACCTAGTAGCCCGTCGCGTGCGCCCCCGCTCATACCATTAGCTGAAGTAGCAATCGCAAATGTTTGATTCGAAACTGATATGCCAGCAATCTACGTGAAAGAAATCCGAAGTAAAATAAAATCTTATTCAGATTGAACTGGTTTCGTTTTGTTATCTTACATTAACTGTATCAGTTGCCCATGTTCCGTTTACATTGCTGCCATCACCATATCTAATATAAAACGGGTTCTTTGTTACACTGCATGTTGACGATAAATTTGAGTTGAATGTATGATTACCACCTGTATAATTGAAATTCGGCGTATTCAATGTTTGATTAATTTTTAAAAAAACTGTTTATTTTACCACATGAAGGTCCACATTGACCACCTGGTATCCATAAATCGCTTGATCCAGTATCAAAATCAACATAAAATGGCTGACATGGCGTGCCAATTGTTATCAAACCAGTCCAATATGTCTGTACATTAGGATTTTATCTTGCAACTTCTTCGAAATTTCAATGAAGTTTTCAGTACTTACTCCCCAAAACTGATCTACTAGCGTTTCATTTGCTATTGTTGGTGTAACCGATCGTTGTCTTCTTATTCCTGCTATTGTTGAATTACCATGACATTTATGTCTACTTGCGCTGTTACTACATTGATATTTCACCTTTTGCATAGAAATACTAAAGAAGAGAAACAAGAAGAACATTCGCGATGGCAAAATATTGAGAAATAACATACCGTTTTATACCAGGATTAATAGAACTTCCGCCACTTGTAGCTGCAGCATCAGTACTCGGACCGAATACAAACGCGATAACGAGTACTGAGAATGTCACGATAGTCAGAAACTTATTCATGTTGCTCAAAACCAATGACGATAATCAATGAACAACAAAAAATGAATGAATTGCCATGAATATATATAGTAATACATAATCAAGGGTGGTGAGCTTTTTTCCCATCACTTTTTAATTAATTGTTACATTTTCCTTTAGTTGACGCCCTTATTTTTGTCGTTATTATTCATCGTTGACGTTTTTGCACTTTTATGGGTGACTGGCTACTTCCTTAATATTATTTATACTCAGCAGCATGATGCAGAAAACGAAAGGTAGTGGACGTTTTCATAATTGCATTTTGATAACTGAAAATTATTTAATAGTACATGTGAAGAAAAAATAGATCTGCATCACTCTGTATCATAGAAGCAAAATCATATGCTTTGCAAGTTGTACCTGATGTGCGCTAGACGATGGCGAATCTCAATTTGTCACAACGTTCAATTTTTTGTAAACTCGCAAAAAAGTCCTAAAAAGGCTATGTACGGACTTAAATCCGAATCGTCGCTCACCCAAACCATTTTATTCTCTATACATGCGATCTTTACTTCACGTAGTTGACTGAATATTTCCTTAGATTGTGTATTCATTGTCAATCGCATACCTTCTGCCGCAACGTATCAATATCATTTCGTTTTCCCTCCATAATTTCTAATTAGATTATTCTCTAGTGGGTTCCGTTCGGTGAGATGTATGCTATGGAATGTGCACCATTACACTATTCTGTGTACACAATAGAGATGGCATTCAAACAAAGCAAAACGTGATAATCACAGACTCTATAAATTTTGTTTAATTGTTCAATTCGTTCCATAAGAGATATTTTAGATAAAAGTTCAATTTCAAGATTAACAAACTAATTTGTCAGCAATCGTACACGTACACTCTTGACTGTTTCTTGAGCAGACCGACATAGTAATGTCAGTAACTGAAATTATGAAGTAGCGGAATATGGAGAATCGTTTAAATTGTCTTATTCAGTCGAAAGATTTTCCTCACAAATATAACTAATCTCATGATTGGATACAAATTCACTCGAACATACCTGATGAAAATGAGGTATGATCCATATGGAATTGATATCTGTAAATGCAAACATTCAATAGCTTCAGAATAACGAGTGAACAGTTCTGCATAGATAGAAAATCAATTAGATGAACATGATATCTATACAGTGTCATTTTCTCAATTCATCAAAGAATAATGATGATCAAAAGCTGAAAACCAAGGGATATAGTCCACCAAATACATTAATAATACTTTTTCGAACTAGAACGATACTCATGTGATCTTGATATTCAAATATGCACATGTATGGAGTACATCGATTCGACAATAAAGAGAAAAGGATAAATTCAAATTATATGTTTCACCACGAGAACTATCGATATAAGGATCAATCACCATCATAAAAGATCGATTATACAGGGCATCCCAATGTCGACGCAAAAAAGAAATTCACAAAATGACATTCAGTATAAACATTTGGAATTTCGAAAAGTAGTGGAACAGAAGATATTGATAAGTCGTTGCACATCGCCAACTTTCAATCACTGAATTCATTTCAGGTTCGAACAATTCTTGAGAAAGTATGCGAGAATTGATCAGTTGTGTTTGCAAGAAACTATTCTATGAACGATTCGTCATTTGTATTGCTTCTTCAAAAAACAGAAATAAGAAGTAAAGCGTTGTATCATCCGAAAGTCGATAGTCCAAACGAGAATACCAAATCTAACTCGAAGAAGACAAATCACTTGTGCATATCTGATGAAAATGAGGTTCCATACCTAGAAAAGTAGAATAACAGACAGAAGTTGATGAACATGGACATGAAAGACTATTGGAGTGTAGTTTTCGTTCGTTCATTCTTCTACCATCAGATCATTGAACATTGATTGAACTCGTGAATTCATTTCAAAACGACTTTAGTTCGTGATCATCATGACTGATAATGTTGTCGATATTCGTAGAAATATACGATAAAATCGAGACATCCAAAACAACTATAAAAGTTGCCTTGCTGATCTATGTAGAGATTAACATCGACAATCAGTCACTTCATTATGATTTCCACCACTGTCGAAGTTAATACTTTCAATCCATCGATCAATAATCAATTCACTTGAACAGACTTGATGGAATCGTGATTAAATCAAAGTGAAATTACCATATGAAATAGAAATACATGAACATGGACATCAGACATCGAATGGGAGACTTGAGAACTCATCCAGAGTACAACACAAACGATTGTGAGAAGTATTGAGAGAACTATGATGTAGATTCGAGTGGCAATAATACTGGAACGAAGGTGATGTTCATTATCACCATCAGTTCTATCAGAAGTCTTCAGATTTTGAAGATAAGTTTTCAGCGTCTGTATTGTTGAAGTATGAAAGAGAACGTTGTATATTCAAATCATAATGCGTGTTTCTTCTAAATCTGACTTTTGTTTCGCGTGATTCTATGAAATTATCTGTACAACTCAGTGTCTTATGGCGTGAAAGTAAAATATAGCTATCACGTGACGCTGGCTCGAAAGATTTACTCAGGCTTTTCTTATAAGAACGGTGTTTTATGATCTTATCAGGAAACTATTTACTTTTTACATTTAGTCAATGATTCAGATTAAGTAAAGAGTGGGAGTATTCATAGCTTTAAACAAATAAATAGACAAGACAGACATCTGTCGTAATCTAACGAGAGAGTATCATTCTATGAATAGTTTCTCACAGAGCATATGCCTCTATAAGACAACTCTTTCTATCAACAGCAGACTCATACTTCTTCTAATTGGCTAAAGTAGAGCTCTTTCAGCATTATTATTACTTCCTAATCAGTTTTAAACGCAAACGATACACTTATCAAAGCAAAAGTGAAAGAAAAGATGAAGAAACATTTATGTTTCTCGATTACAACGACTACAGACAGACTATGATTAACTAGAACAAAATGATTGTTAGCATCTCGAACAGTTAACATTCAATCTCTCCATCATGCTTTTTTCAAAGAGAAGAACATAATGTCAACGGGAGCTATTTCGATTTATTCCAGTTAAACTACGCCTTTTACCAAACACTTCCTATTCACATCTTCAGTGTTTGCATACCGATAAACACATTCTCTACACTCATGTTTTTCTCGTTCTTCAGTTGCTTTGCGCACGTCTTCTCTCGAAAGAAGAAAGAACACAAAAATTCACCAACTAAGTTACTTTTTTTATTGCGTTTTAACCAGCACAGCATCAAAACACAGAGACTGAAGTTAACAACTACGTGGGGAACAATAATCAGAACTTTCAATACAACAGACAATCGGTGATCGATCGATCGATATTAAAAAAATGCAAGACGTCGTTGTCATCTGGCTCGACAATCATATCGATCACAACTATCCTGATTGTCAGTTAACACTTACACAACTCCAACGCATTGTTGACAACGTCATCATATTCACGGATAATGATGAATGCGTCGAGTTTATAATCAGCAACAATCACCATCGAGTATATCTAATCATTTCTGGTGCACTCGGACAATATCTAGTGCGTTGTATCCACGACATTCCTCAACTACACTCCATTTTCATCTTTTGTCAAAACAAATCCTATCATGAACAATGGGCTAAACATTGGAACAAGATCAAAGATGTTTTCATTGATATAATATCACTCTGCCAAGCCATTCAAATCACGTTTCCTCAAGATGAGCCCGACACCGCACCAATCAGTTTTGTGCCATCTGGCAAAAGACTGGATCAGCTCAATCCATCTTTCATGTACACACAACTCTTCAAAGAGATATCGTTAACGATCCAATTCCAAGACAAACACATCGAAGAGTTTATCAAGCATCATCCTGGACTAATCACTCTCGATAGTAAACATTCCAGTGATGTTAAGCAATTAGTACGTGAATACCATGCAGAGAAGCCCATCTGGTGGTATACAAGAGGTACTTCGTTGCATTCCATGCTCAACTATGCACTACGAATCATGGATGGTGATATTCTTGTTCGAATGGGGTTCTTCATCACTGATCTTCATCGCAACATTGAACAGTTGCACAAAGAACAGTTCGTTAACACATCTTGGAGTTCTCTTGTGTTTACAGTATATCGCGGACAAGGTCTATCTCACACAGATTTTGACGAACTAAGAAACACAATAGGTGGGTTGATGTCATTCAACAACTTCTTCTCTACCAGTACAGACCGCGACGTCTCGTTTTCCTACGCGGAAAGTAGTGCAGACAATCCCAGGTTAGTAGGAATCCTCTTCACAATACGCGTCGATCCTTCACAGTCAACAACACCCTTTGTTCGTGTTGGAAATGATGGCCACTTTTCAGAAGAGATCGAAGTGTTGTTTTCAATGCACACCGTGTTCCGAATTCATGACATCAAAGTTATTGGCACTGGTCGACCACTCTATGAAGTGAATATCTCGCTGACTCTTGATTCTGACGAAGAGTTCCGCACACTCACTGATCATATTCGTCGCGAGAATCATATTGATGGTAAAGGATGGACGCGATTAGGCCAACTGCTGATTGAATTGGGTCAACCAGACACAGCTGAGAAGATTTACGATACTTTACTAAACCAAACATTAGATGACAGCGATGAGGGAGTGATCTGTCATCAACTTGGTCGTATCCGAGATCAGCAAGGCTTGTTTCAGGAAGCCATAACATTATATACTAAATCACTTATGCTTCTTGAAAAGTCACTACCTGTAAACCATCCTACTTTAGCCACACTATATGTTAACATCGGTTTGGTGTATGCTAGTATGGGTGATTATCCAAAATCACTCGAATACTATGGGAAAGCTCTTTCATTTCAACAACAATCACTTCCTGAAAAACATCCTGATTTAGCCACATCCTATAACAACATCGGTTTGGTGTATTCTAGTATGGGTGATTATCCAAAATCAATCGAATACTACGGGAAAGCTCTTTCAATTCAACAACAATCACTTCCTGAAAACCATCCTCATTTAGCCACATCCTACAACAACATCGGTTTGGTGTACGATAGTATGGGTGATTATCCAAAAGCTCACTTCTATTGTGAACGCGCTGTTCAAATTGTCAAATGTTCATTACCGTCAAACCATCCAGACCTTTTGATGTACAAAAGAAACCTGGAATGTGTGAAGGATGCACTGTGGCGTTCTTCTTTGACTCATATAAAATAAAATCATATCTCGTTTCAAAATGACATGGTATCATATAGTTTTTTCAGAGAAGTATTGTATCGATGTCTTTCCATCAAAATGCGCAGGAAACGCCTCAATGAGGGAAGAACTGATCAATTGATACATCGAATGCTCTTAGATATTGAATAGTATGAATACGATTTACGTCAGAGAGTGATAAGTTTTATGATTATAAGTAGTGAAGTTCGACGAATCCTACCTCCAAATTAGTGTTTAAACTGTATATGAGGTAACATGAAGACAATTTTGTTCAAGTCCTTATAGCTGCTCGTGAGAGTGAAATAAACGAGCGTTTGGAAGAACAAAATCAGTATAGTTGTCTATGTGAATTCCACTCGGTCATATCTTTCGTGAAGACGACGAAACTTTATCTGGACAAATTCTGTACAAACTTCATTATTTATTGCAAAATATTGACGAGAACAAAATCATCGCATATCAATCCTACTCAATTCAGAAGAGGTGATAAACGCTTTCGTTGCTGATCAGTCGGATTTTGATTTGATATTCATGCACAATAGATATTTAGATCCTGTTGATTGTTCTACTATAGTATGAATAACGTCAAATATTGTCTCCTCTAGTGCACCAGTTCTTATTATGAGATAAGAAAAGAAGAAACATCATTGTTCACAGCCTCTTTTCATCTAAGACTTGTTCTTCTTCTCTCGATAATGCTAATCTTCACAAAAGAGCATTCCAAAGCGTTTTATTCGTCAAAATTCATGAAAATTTGACTATCAGAATAAGTCAGTTACATTTCCTACACGTTTCACTATCATATTCAACGTTTCAACATTCGATGGTACACAGAAATGCGTTGGATTTAGTGAATTGTAGTCATTGGAACATGAGTATGATCAGATGACTCCAAACTTGATTGTCATTTTCTCCAAACAAAGTCATCTTGAGCGCTTCTACCTTGTTTAATTCTATGACAGATTCAACATCATTTACTATACAATAACAAACAATACAGTGAATACCAACTTGAAATCGATTTTCTGTCAAAATGTGAATCACTTCAGCTGTATTCATCTCACACTTATCTCGTTTTTCAATTCTTTGGGTTCCTAATCGTAGATCTTCAGATGTCGATAAGATCATAATGTGCAATATGATTCACTTCATTTGCAGTTCAAATCAAACATTAGTTGTTCGATAAATCCTGTTCTTTCATTCAAATACAGTGTGCACTGGCCAGCATATCATCTGATTTTCTTTTTTATAGTCAGCACGACTAGAACTGAGAGCATTTGATCGTCGTCCTGTTTTCGAGATCGAGAAAAGAACATATCCAAAGCCGTTTGAGCAGTGTTTAGCGAATAATTGCACAAAGCACAAAGATGATATACCCGGTCATTGCTCAACTTCGAAGCAAGAAAAAATGATTCATTTATGAGCGGATGTTTGTCAACAAGGACTGAATAATGAAAATTCGACCTTTTAATATTCATTTATATAGGGAAATATCACACATGTACAAAATCAAAAGAAAAATTCTCTTAAGCTGCAAAAATGCGTCGTAGTCGTTGTTTATGTCTGGCTTGCGCTTGGATATGAGCTGGATTGAGCATATTTGAGATTTTGATGAATGCAGCATACATCACCACAGCATGCACAGGCATCAGAGTAATCAAGAAAACAGGTGTCATTATCGCTACTGTTTGTTGACATGCATTTTCCTATCACAAATATCGTCATGCAATACATTTCAAAGATGACGAACTTACGAAGTCTTTTGGATACATAACACCAACTGTCGATTCACTTGTTCCACTTGATGTAGTTGCAGCAGCTGTTGTTGAGGCTAGTAGATGGAGAAAAATTTAGAATTTGACAACAGAAAAGATTTCATGATTATTACCAGCTGTAGTCGAGTTAGAAGTACTTGCAGTGGTTGCATTTGTTGTCATAGCAGTCGTTGTTGTTACCACAATACCAGTTGTTGTCAACTATTCACAAACATCATCATAATTACACGAAGAAAATTGAAAAGAATCGGTACCAGAGTATTGATGCTGGTAGTTGATGTTGGTCGAGTTGTGACTGTCGCAGTTGTGAATGGTGTGGTGGTTGTTGTCGTTGTACTTGAAACAGCTGGATTCCAAATATTGAATCGCCAATAGGTTGGATCAGTGACGGGTGCAGATTCCGCATCTATTATATTCCATCGACAATTCATTTCTATATTAGATATCATGAAACTCACGACAAAAAACATTTCCACTTGCAAATCCACTGTCCATTGTAACATAATAAGTTTTACCAGGTATCCACGAATAGATTGCAACAATGACAATTGTGTCTCCAGTGTAAACCAGATTTGATGCATAGCCAGCATCATAACACACCACTGACACATTCGTATCTGCATCATGAAAACAAACATCTGTTCCATTACGAGTTGGACGACCAACTGTACTTGACGCTGTCGAATCAAAATCAATGAACGATGAAAAAATAAAAACTTTTTAAGAAATGTCTACCTTCGATTGAAAAGAGAGTTTGATTGGAGAAAACAGTGCCCACGGGACTTGCTGATCCTTGTACTAGTGTCGGACGGATCAGATCGGGTGAATCATAGCCAACTAGATATGTTATGCACCATGGATCAGATTGTAAACTACTATTGTCAATAGCACCAGCACAAAAACCTTGAGGACCAGTTTGTGCTGCCGCAGGTGTCCATGTCAATACCATTGTCCAAAGATCTATCATTTTACCAAATATTTCTCTCAGTCTTCTCACTGATCGTCGATTACTTACTGGTGCTGGGATTATTGATCGCACTATGTGTCATTCCATAGGGTGAACTGGTTACAAGATCAACGATAGTTTGACCAGGACAATATGTTTGAATGATGATTGTTTCATTCAGTTGAACACCTAAAGTATAGATTAGACAAATAGGCTCCTATGAAAGATTCAATCGCAATTTACCAATGGGAACTCCAATACAAGCTAAGATGAATGAAAGAAATACAAAGAAAAAGAGTCAATTAAGATTTCGAATAGAACATATGATCATACCTCGGTTAGGACGATCACCAATGATTGATGGACGTTCTGAACAAGCACCAGCAGAGGCTGTGTATCCATAGAATAGAAATTGGATTGGAACAGAGCTCATCGGACTAGTCGAAGAACTACTATAATAATCTTCGATCTGAAGAGCACATGCATAATACAGATTTGCAGTTGGTAAAGTAAACGATAAGGTACAATTTGATGCAGTTAGTACAGTTGATGAAGGTAAACCACTACAAATACCTCCACATTCATCAACTCGATTATAATTCGATCCAGATGCTGAATTTGACCAACGACATTGCAAAATATCAGTACCATCATTATCTGCCATTTGAACAACATGAACGACTTGTGTATTTATTTGATAAAATACAACTGGAAGTGTATTTGTAACAGGACTACTATTGATATAACCATCTGGTCTCAAACCTAAATTCAATCGATTCACAATTGACCATGATTGACCTCCGCCAATGTAAAGAGCAGTCATCCATGCACTCGACTGAAAACCAATTGTGATCGATGTCGTCAAAGGTAAAGTCAAAGTATCATATCGTTCACCAGCCCATGATTCGATGATTGTATTTTGATCACAATCTGTTGTTGTCATAACAGTTGAAAGACCGCCGCTCGGATAGGTAGAACTTGAGCAGTTTGATAGACAAGTCATATAAGAATTAACGGGAATCGGTGTTTGCGAAGTAACATCGGCTTCTGTGCAATAAGGTGGAGTAAAACCAGACCATTGTCGATTCCAGAAATATCTTTGATGGATAAGAATACTTGCATTACCATCCGATGGTGTACTATTCAATGGGCGCCTAAGGAGAATCAAAGTATCGAAATGAAAGTTGGATGAGTGATGAGTGTACGTACCATGAAATAATACCACCACGAAAATGTGCTCCTTCGATTGTATTGTATAGAGCATATAAAATCACAAGGAAGAAATACCAAATGAGTTTCATTTTTCTGATATGTAGTTAATGTACCTTTTTTTCTCATATATATATATGAATTTTTTCGAAACATTTCAATAGAAAGTACATGAGGGTGGAGTTTAATCATGATATGTTTAACGTGTTGTAGTCAGAACGAAAAAGGCATATACGAATTTGAGTGTACTTTTAAAGTTTTGCCACAAATAAAAGCAACGTACGAGCAGTAAACATTAACACTGTTTTCTCTGCTCAAATAGATTCAGTACGCCTTGGTGATGGAAAGCAAACAATTTTGACGTTTTGACTCATTCTTTGAGAGCTATTACAATTCACTTTCTTTCGCTAAGGTGCATTATGAAATCGAGTAGATCAACATATTTTTTATCCATGACTACCCACCCATTCTTCAATGGGTACTTTTTATTTCGATGTTCTTAAAAGTTACATAGCATCATGCACACAAGAATCATTTGAAGTACAATCTTGGGCGTCGTTAGAAACAGCACTCTGTCCCAGTTTCATACGAAAACAACAAATACGTCGTGAACCAAATTATTTTCTCTACAATTGAGATAACAAAAATCGTCGAAGTTTGCTGGTAATAAAATCTAGTGGATAAGTATACGCCACGGATTCGATTGTTAGATGAAAATTTTCTATTCGTTAAAGTTTAACTCCCACACCTTGTCTCTCTATTTGACTTTCTAACTTGTTTATTTATGACGATAAGTCTGCTTCAGCTAATAAATATCCTTTTACAGTAGTATAACATCACATGATATCCGACTAAATGTACCATTGATACTTTGCCATTTAAGATTTATCAATACGTCTTTACTGTTCGATATTCTTTTCGAATGTAACACGAGAAATATGCTAGTGAACAATGTACCGACGATAAATTTCCAAGTGAACACTTGAGGGCCTAGTTTCAAAACCAATATTTGCGCTTGAATCAACGTCTGTTTTAGCTGAAAACTAGTCGACATGGGGATGAGTGGTGTTACGACATGCTAAGCATCATATGGATAATCTCTCGTCAAGGATTTTATGTGTATCCACGAGCTACCCAATGGCAAGTAGAGTATTGTTGATTTTTCTTGAATGTTATATTTGGTTTATAGTATAGGATTAATTGATCCTTGGTTAACTTGTATGGCGTGGCACCATTCGAATCTCCAGCACATTGTTTTACTAAAAATGTTATAGTTGTGTTTTGTTCATTAGACTTTTGTTTCTTTGGTTTAGGTAATTCTGTCGTGGTTGCCGTCTTGAATTGATTTGGTAATAAAGGCTTATTTGCATGTTTTTCAAACTATTCTTCCAAGGATTTAGCCTTTGAATATAGAATATTGTACAAACCTTCGAAATCGAATTGATTGGTCAAAGTCACCATCATCTGATATTTTATCTCTATTTCTGTAAGTATTGGAGTGAAACATACAATACTGTTGTATTACTCAAATCTGTTTTCTTCTTCCACGTGTACTAATCTCGTTACGAACACCACGACGGTTTTTTTTCGTTCTTTGAATTATGTTTATGTAAGAGACTGAGACAAAGAAAAAGAACGACGACATTCTAATCATTTACTAACCATAACACATCGTACTCATGTAAAAAGAGCGCTATTCTCATTATATTTTCTACTAAAGAGTGTGAGCAAGAATAGATATCAACCCTATCCTTCCTTTATTCATTGAAAATCTTGAGGGTTAGTTTCAACTATATTGGACTCTCGTTGATTTTCACTGATTGTCAATGAATACTTTAACTGCTGTCATTTCGCTTCCCTTGTGTTCACTAGTAATAAAGTTGCAACCCATATAGGTTTTTCGTTTATGATGGTTCCATGACAACCGATGTGTACGTGTAAATACCGGCATTCATGAGTTGACTATATACACTTGAGTGCTTGAAATAATTATTGATTTATTGGAAGTTCGAATATCTTAGATTTACATAAAAATCTATTATTCATTTTGTATGACGATTTCTATCGCAGGATCTATTCTAGTTTGTTTCTGCAGATATACAAATCGAGGACTCATACGATTCTTTTAGTTTATGACCATCTTATTTTTGTGAGTCACATATTTGTGGTGCAATACAACGACAACTCTCCAATAAAGAATGTGATTTCATCATCAATAGCAATTGCTGCTTCGTCATATTTTTCTTTTCTTCTCAACATTAATATTTAGTAGAGCTGCTGAAAAGCACGTCAGAATTATTGACACAATGTCTAAAATCCTCGATCAAGACGACAACTACACGTATGAGATATTACAAGACAAAGATTGTGTCGAATGTGCAACTTTTCTTGCTCATACATTCACCAAGGATAATCCGTACGAAATTTTTATGAAAACAACCTTCGAACAATTTTTTCCGGATGCACTTGCACTGTGTCAAGGTATTGTCAGTACAAATCTATCTGTCATTGCACGTCATAAACAAACAAATCAAATCGATGGTATTATACAAGGCATTGATCTAAATACTCCCGATGATGAAGAAGATTCAACAGCTGATACCGACGCCGGTGGAGAGAAGCGAGCAGATCCAATTCTGCAATTGATACATCAATCTAAAGAAGATTATATAAAAGAATACGAAAAAACACATGGTGAATTGAAACAAAATTCAGTTGCACACATACTCATGGTTGGTGTACGATCAGATTGTCATGGAAAAGGTAAATTTTTTCGGCAGAATCGTTCGAGTCACAATAACTTGGAATGTAGAACTCTAATCTACAGTCAATTTTATTAACAGGCCTGGCTTCAAAATTGAATCAAGTCTTTCTTGATCATATTCGTCGTCAAGGATTTAAACACGTGATTGTTGATACAACAAGCGCAGCTATCCAGCATATATATGTAACGAAACTGAAAG